GATAAGAATAACTTAGTGAGATACATGGATAATTTCATGTTCCAATACAAGTATTGCCTAGCCTTTGAAATGCTGGACATGAGCATTTGGGACCTTTATTCGCAAATGCAGGAACCATTTTCCCTGAACGAAATCCGCCCTATCACACAACAGCTACTTGTAGCTTTTGAAGCCCTGAAGGGAATTGGCATTATTCATACAGACCTGAAACCGGACAATGTCATGCTTGTAAACCACAAGTCTCAGCCCTTCAGGATTAAATTAATTGACTTCGGTTTGGCCCTCCCAGCTTCCGAAGCAGAGGTTGGTATGGAAATGCAACCTATTTCTTATAGAGCTCCAGAGGTGACCTTGGGTCTCCCTATAACTGAAGCCATCGACATGTGGTCATTGGGATGTCTCCTGGGTTCATTGTATTTTGGAATCTGGTTTTTCCCTGGAGCATCTACATACGACCAGATGAGAGCTATTTGCCAGCTCCTTGGTCAGCCAAAAAAACACCTGCTAGATGCTGGGATAAACACTTCGCAGTATTTTATCAAGGGAAGGGGCTTGACTCCAGGATGGGAGCTAATGACGCCATCTCAGTACAAGATGGTGTCTGGTGTCCAGCCAGAATTTCCAAGTTGGTATTTTGATGATGTTAAAATTGACAGTGCTGCAGTAATGGAGAAGCCAGAGGAACATGACTATGATACGTCTGAAGAGAAACAAGATTACATGTCAGAGGTTATGCGTGAAGACAAGATGCATTCTCAGACCTCTTAAATGCGTTTGTTCAATCTGGATGGTCAGACTAGGATTACGCCCGGACAAGCCCTAGAACACAGTTTGTAACAATGGTTCACCTAGAAGATAACATGTATTCTAACCCTCATGCATCAGAGGCCTTTGAGATGATGGACATCTGCACCCTGGATCTTTCAGATGCAATGTGTGATCCTCTCAGCGACCCATCTGAGAATGGTGAGACTGATATTGGGGTCACATAAAATCAGTAGTCTTCAGAAACAACCACCAAGTGTGCAGGATGACCACAGGACCTTCAAATACTTTAGCCTGTGCAACCAGGGTTTTCTCCGGGAACTCCGGTTTACTCCCGCTATATAATGATTATGCAAAAAAAAACAATTGGTGATGTGAAATTGTCCTTGTCCTTGTGAATGTTTTAGTATGCGTCAGCCCTGTAACATTGATATGGGTTTGATTTGACCCTAGTGTTTTTATTTAACGTGTTACTGTAATCAATAAAAATGCAACATTAAAATTTAAATATATGATTCAATATTTGTCTTGAGAATTGAGGAACAAATTATGATGTAACAACAAGTGATGACTTGTATGTCATGAACAAGTCATGGTAAAGTAGATCATACTGAAAATAAAGATGTTTAAAATATATGTTTTCACAGCAATGTAAAACAGCTTATAATACAAAAATGAAATGACCAAAGCATTTCTTTCAAATCATATATTTGTTTTTCTGTGTTTTACCTTGGTATGGAATAGGACTGATTTCAACTAATAGTATTGGTTTTGACTACTACAGTTCTGGGGAAAAATCTGGGTGAACTTCTTGGTGTATAATATAATAAAAAATGACATTTCAAAAGACTCTCAGGATAAATCCATGAAGACATGAGATTGACTGATATTAATAGACCCTCATGGCAAAAACACATGTTTTATTAATGAGGCCACTCCAGAGAAAGACATCTTTGAGGATCCTTACCTTCAAAAAGGAAGATAATCAGTTTATTTTCTAAATCTATTCTTGTGTTTTTTCACTCATATTGTTCTCAATGGAGTGATTATATAAGATACAGGGAAGAAACACAGACACACTAATAGACAGAACATTGAATGTCCTGGCATGAAAAGACTGATGAATATTGACATGCAGCAGACAACAGTGTACTTTGTGTTTGTGATCGTGTGCCAAGTCCTTGCACTGTACGACTGCCCTCAGGCATACCGTACGCTACGATTGCATGTCACTGTTTTTTGTTTGTTTTGCAGACTCACATGGCAGTATGTGTGCCACAATTATGTTTCTCAACATACAAAAGGCAACAGTAGTCAATAAATCAATCTGAAAGAGATCTCTTTCATTGATGAAGTGTGTATACAGTATGGCATACATACACATAATACAATATGGTTATACTGTTGTAAAATCGAAAAAGATATATACAAGATTACATTATATCTATATTTTGTAATTTGCACAGATGTGTTTGCTTAAAGGTGAAATGAGGAGCTTAATCTTGTAGTGTTGTACATCCTAATGAACCATCAGGATATACGCGTGTGTATGAATGAAACGGAGGTAGATTTAATCTTTCTCCTTCAGAAGGTCTCATCAAATGTATGATTTGATAACACAGGAAATGTCTCAGCCTTTCTGTATACTTTGTTTTCTCCTTAGTTAAGGACATTTTGAAGAGCAAAACATGTTTTAAAAAATATCACTGTGAGCATGTCAGAGTACAGTAAGTCAGCTATATTTCATCTACTGACAGCGAGTGATTTAGTAAACTAACCTCATCTCCAGGTCATGGCTGTCTTGGGGAGTAAAGCTGAACAAGGCCACATAGGTGTTGAGCTTAAGGACATCTTGTTGTAGGTGGATCTGCTCCAACTAAATAACACAGACACACACACAGAAAAACACATGAACACAAACAGATTTGGTTGTCAAGAAGTCTGAAGAAAAAGGAAAACATAGCTGACAAGTTAAACAAAGCTCATAGTCACAAAAATACAATGCAACACCATATTTTCTATTGTCACTTTTCTCGCTTCTTAAAATAGTATGTTGGCATTCACATAGGCAGGAGAAGCCCTTGTTTACTGAACACTGATAGACTGGGCTTATGTTGTTCTGCAATCTGTTCCTTTAATCCACCGTCAACACGAGTGGGAGAAGCAGGATCACGTTTCCATGAACACTCAGGAAGTTAAAACAGGAGAGGGTTGTGGGTGGAGAGGAAGTTGTCAGAGAAGTGTTAGCACAATTAGCGAGGAGACGCGGCGCCACACTGGTGCCCTTCACACCTGCTCCTGGTGGGCGTCTTCTTGATTCATCACCAATACCTATCCGGCGTGCTGTGTCCCTGAAATCCTTCCAAATGATAACTAGCTACTGCATAATTTCCACAGGGAAACCTAGCCAAGATAAATGAGAATTACTTTTTAAGACACACTAATGGCTGTTTTTGAAAGACAGTGGAAGAATTTGCCATCTTTGTGGCACTGTGTCTTTTATGAGGAGAAGTGTTCCTGGTCTTTTGGGGCTCCTCGAGCATCGTCCATGAGGACTGGCAATGTGTGTGATGGATGAGTCGAGTTGACTGCAGCCACAAGGCAAATTGCCTCTGTGGCCTCTGGGTGAAAACAACAGCGTCAAGTAGTGGCAATCCATTACAGCTAAATAAGAGCCGCTCACTGGCCTTGAAAGGCTCTCGATGCTATGGGAGCCGGGAACAGTGCATCGGGTTGAGCAGGTTGACATAACAGCCTCCTTTGAAACTGAGTTATAGACAGAAAAGGCTGCATTTAGGAAAAAGTAAAACAATGAAATGGAAGAACAGCAGGAATTTCTTTAGATCCACAGTTACTGATTGTTTTTTAGCCAATTGGGTGTAGTTTAACAACCTTTAACAACTTTAACATATTATCACCTTATAAACTTTTTATGTTGCACATGTCAGCCAACAGCTGCCTGTTTACATGTCTAGCAAACACAGCAACATTTACTCTCCATCTTGCACTGTTTTGCTCGAACATGTTGCTATACAGTATAGCACCTAAATGCTCCATGATGTACTTACTAGTTGCTACAGATGTTTATTTGATCCATTGTTTTATAAAAATATCGATAGGCACAGCTTTAAGGGTAAAGATACGTTTGGCTATTGGAGGTAAAACGTTTTACACTTTAATGAACAAAAGCTGCCTCAAATAAACAGAAAAAGCTCCACCTACAACACAAGCAAACTTCCCAAACAAAGAATCCACGCAAAAATGAACCATGGCAATTTGAATGTCAATAGATCTTGTGTAGTTTAACACAAAACCTGGAAAGTGTGAACAGATGGGGATCCTGTGTGTGTCTCTCATCTCAAATTGGAGGTTTCATCGCTGGCAGAGAGGCAGTTTGAGCGTTTTCCCCTGCTCATTACCCTGCAGAGCCTCCATCTGTCCGTCCTCCAGCCCGAGCTAATGGAGCGGTCTGCGGACGGACACACAGCCGGCTGCCAGCTGTGCTCGGTCCAGTCTGATAACACAGCACAATGTACTTCAAGTCTCTTCCCCGAAAATGGACGGCTGGCATATTGTATTGCAGAGAGGATAGGTGTCTGCATGTGTACTGTTTTATTTCCCATGTATGGTTATTTGTTCATTTTTGTGTTTGTCCAAATATCTGTGTGGCTTTTTCCATTGTTGACAACAGAGATAAACATGTTAAACTATAAAAGTAAACATGATAGATTGCTGCACATAGAAAAAGTGCACAAAGAACATTGATACTGAAAGCACCTCTCCAAAACACTTTGAAAGATAGACAGGAAAAGAGCCGCTTAGAAATCTGCCCATGAAATATTCATGGTTATCCTGCAGGAGGTGCCAAGATATTCAGAGAGGTTTAACCTTTTTCTCCCACCACCAGCATGAATTGTGTAACATTATCACTGCATCTACGGTGTAGAAAATAATACCAGAAATACAGAGCTGCAGATTGAGACGTTACATGACTTCAAAGCTTCTCTCTATCAGTTCAGGCCAGTGCTCTTGTCAGCTCCGGTTTGATTTGTTACAGCAGGAAGAGAAGTTTTCCCTCAGAGTCCTGGGAAATCGAGCAGTGACGATTGAGGCGAGGGGCAAAGAGCAGCGAGCTTATTGGAGGCAGAACCGACTGGCTGGGTATTAGTTCTCAGAGACACCATGAAGAGTTCAGGCACTGGTCAGTAACAAAGTCTGTTCTCAGAGGTTGTCAGACTGCACCAATAATACTCATTACTGTACTGACTGTGAGTCCCAGAATAGCAATCACTGTGATGACCAGACTGCTTCGCTTGCAATTCCTCTAAACACGTATTGTGCATTAAATCTGTAATACAGTATGTACAAAGATTAAAATGGATGTGTTTCTTACCGGCAAGTCGTCAGGACTTCTCTCTGGCTGGAGGTAATGCTCATTTCCGTTCTCGATTACTGTGAAAACTGTATAAAAAAATAAAGACTAAATTAAATCAAATGAATCCAAGAAGTTAGATTGAATTCTACAATAGTAGCTAGTAAAGGCTGCAATGTCTAAAAGATGATATGTTGGACACCAAAAAGACACACTAGGAATAGTTTAAAACCTTGCCAGAAAATTGGAAGATATTATACATTAAGTTTAATTATGAGAAATTGTGACTGTGTCTGCCTTGTGTTTTCTTCTGTGGTTCACACATTTTCAAACTATCTATTTAAAGATAGTTTATAGTTTTATTTTTTAATGAACTAAAGCACGTTCAAGAAAGCAGAGCAGTGTCATGGCCCAAAGGTGACCCTGGCTCAGAACATAATGTATTCTTTAGTAGGGTCAGGTGGTAATCTCTAAAGGAAAGGGCCAGGTAGGTACTACCTTGGTTGGCTTGAGCATTTACCTTGTCGTCCTTTCCTTCCCTGCCTAGTGAACGCTCCAGATTGTAACGGGTCAGTGCCTTGACCTTCACTGCATAGACTATTGTGCAGTTTTTAAATAAAGAGCTACACACAATGCAGACCAAGAAAAAGAGAGGTCCTAATGTTTTTCTACAGGATACTCTACAGCCGGGTCAGAGTTAGGAAACACAACAAAAGGAGCAAAGAAAAGCTTATTTAATGGTTCAACGGAGGACAATTTGATGTCGCAACCTTCTCAGACTCTCTTGGTGGGTGAGCGTGTGTTTACCCTGTGTCACTGCATGGCTGTAATTCAGATGTAATCAATGTACCGCAACAGATACTCACCATCATCGCTGTGTTTTCTCGACAGCTCCTGCCTGCTGCTGTGAGCCACCACTTCCTCTGGAACATTATCCAAGTCATTGGTCTGCAGAAAGAAAAGATAAAACAGATTAGAGATAGGGAGATATATTAACAGAAGACTCTGAGGAGAAAACTAGCTAAAAATGAATCCACTTTCACTGTGTAACCCGCTAACTGCGAGAAAACTGTTTCCTAGTCCGCATTTGGAACGTATTATCATAACCCCTGTGGAGATCACATTGTCTCTGAGAGCCTACACACACACACACACACACACACACACACACACACACACACACACACACACACACACACACACAAACAGCTGCAGTGGACAGGACAGGATGGCCAACAGCTTTCAGATGTCATCTTACGGAGGCACGTATCCAGACATGTTAGCTTACACTAAAAAGTGATAAGCAATGAAAAACAGAGTTCCTTGTGTATTACAGAGATGAGAGGAGGCTGGAGAGTGTAGCCGTACACTACAATCATCCCGGCCATCTTCAGAGCTGTAACATGAGCCTTTGCACCCACATCTCCCTTCATCAGTGCCTGGACCAGAATGCCTTTATTGGTAGTGTTTACAGCCCTGCAGGGGCAGTATCTATTCAGACAATCAGTAACAGTATGTCTGTCGCAGTGAGAAGAAAATATATAGAAAGATACATTACCTTAACTGAACTGTATGTACATTGGGTTTTAACTTAAATAAAAATGGAAGTGTTAGTGATCTGTATTGTTTGTTTGACACCGTTAAGAAAATACACTAACATGATGAATGATCCTTTTTCTTACCAAGTTTCTTTGAGGAGACTCAGAGCCACTGGGCCTCTTGGCTTTTTGTGCCAGCGACGTGCCAAACCTCAAGGCCTCGTACACAGGGTCCACTTTGTTTCCACAGGCTTTAGAAAATAATAAGACAACATTTGAGCTAATGGCAAACATATGTTAAGCTTTCTGATTAGCTATGAGGTGCACTAAAAAACTGAAACGTTGTGTATAATGTCAACAAATGTTACATTACTGTATTGGGTTAGTTGAAACCAAACATATTAAGTTAAGATTAGTTTATTTATATAGCACATTTCAGACACAAGACGAGCCTAATATTTTATATATTATTTCAACTCACTTTCAACTACCCTAATACAGTTATGTGAAATGTGTTACATAATATATTGAATTGATTGTTGTGATTTACAATTCTATCAAAACAAGTTAGAAAATCTTTAAAACAGCAAGTGCAAAAATGGCACCAAAAGAGTTGAGAAAAGTATTTGGTAACACTTTATATTAAGGTACACAAATTAACCATCAACTAGTTGTTAATTAGCATGCATATTAGCAGTATAATGGCTCTCTATTAGTCATTATACAACACTTATTAATGCCGTATTCTACATGACCATATTCTACAAGTAATAAGCCATTAGTTGAGAGTTTTTCCTCAATAACACTCTAATTAGTGCTTATTTATTGCAAGTAAGGAAGTTGTTGTACATGAGTTTTGGTCTTAATATGCGCTGCTTAATATGGGCGTAATAAGGCAGTAGTAGCACAAGAATAGTAATTCTCCCATAATAACACTTAACAAATATGATCTATTCTTATGGAACAAGACATGAAACTATAAGTGTTAATTGTGTCTAAATCAGTGGCGTAGCTGTGGGTGGCCCACCCACAGCCAATCAGCGCTTCATAGCGCAGAGCCGGGAAGCCCAGAAGGAAGTGCCACAAACTGCAGTTCATCTAGTGGCCGACAGGGGATGGATGCAAAAAGGAGCAATTCCCATAGACCCCCATGTTAAAATGCCCAACTTTACAGCAGAAATAAACATGTTTTTAGCCTGGATCCAATACAACTTATTCTGGATATAGTTAGATTCCACCTTCATGACAATGGAATAGGGAGTGCATTTTTTTACCGTGAGTTTTTATAGTAAGTAAAGTAACTTTTGCCATGAGTGAATGAGCGAGGGGGCGGGGTAGTTTACACACACGCAGCTGCTACATGCAGCAACACACACACACGGAGGAGATGGCGGAGAGAACGCGCTCCGAGGTGTGGTTAAACTATGTCGATATGGACAATACTCGTTACCAAAAGTGCAATAAGAGTTTAGCATGTAAGGGCGGTAACACGAGCAATTTGTCTAAACATTTAGCAAAAGTGCTCCACATTCAGACGGAGAAATGCACCGGGTTCAACTGTCTTTCTAGTAGCTCTGTAGCCCCGTCCACGAGTAACGTTTCCACGTCAGGTGCAGGGCTCTCGACTAACTTTTTTCCCCATCCTCCCGGAACCGTCCCGAAATACAAACTAAGCCGTCCCGAAATTAATGTGGACCGTCCCGAATTTAAAATGTTAGTTTTTCTACATTATCATTAGTTAAAAGCATTCAAAGTGACCTTTAACATAAATAAAACATTATACAAATCATTAGATGATAATTCATAAACTTTTTTATTTGAGTAAATCATTCAATCACATAAACAAAGGCCAAATATATTTAAACAAACACACAAATGAGAAAATTACTCTAATATTGAATCCAATCAAGTCCCATCCAAATCACAAAAAAATCCAACACTGTCCTGAAGACAGAACCCAGAGTAACCACTAACCAGGATGACAGTCTGTAACACAGTCAGGAGACCTTTACAAACGGCCCCGCCCCCTCGCACACAGACGGGAGAGAGAGATCTCGTCTGGATTGGAAAGCTCGAAAATACATCAGAGACGCATGTTGTAGTCTTATTGCATATTAGAAACGGAGTTGGTGAAACTAAAACTGCGATATAATGTGTATGTAGCAATAATACATATGACATATATTTTTTAAATGTCTCCAGTACCGATAAAAAGTCCGATAACGTCGGAGCTTAACGTTACCACTGTCTTTAATAATTCCGGCCCGGGGCCCGTTTAATACCGGGGCTCGGTAACCATCCCTACATGGGGAGAGGCGCAGCATATTGCTAAGGACTAAATACGATGGAGAGTTCTCATCTCAGCCTTATTACCCATAGGGGATGAAGAGGAGTAAGTAAATAAAGAGGCCGGCGCTCCAGGGTCTGGTTCTGCTGTGCGTTTTTGTGATGTAACGGTAAAACATTTCAGAATTCCTCCACGGGATGCCATTGTACATCACTCAACCCGCGAAATACACACACTCAGTACATAGCTAGACCCGCGAATTTGCGGGCCAGGAATTCGCTGGCTGCCAGCCAGCGGCACAGCTGTAGCTACGTGTGTGTGTATTTCGCGTTTCTAAATGTTTTGTGCTTGTGTGTTTATGTTGACAAGGAGGTTTAATAACTGTGTGCTACATAAAACGTGCAGTCGGTTTCATTTTCATCGCCGTTTGTAGTAGAGTTAGCAGGGTATTTTTATTTTAACTCTCGTCCCAAATTCGTCCCAAAATTATTTTGTATCCTCCCCGACACTATTTTTTTCGGCCCCGGGACGACGGGACGTCCTTAAGCTCGAGCCCTGGTCAGGTGTTATGTATGCTAGCAGCAACACACGGAGCTAACTACATTATACAAACATGGGTTAATGATTAGAGGTAACTGAGTTATTTATTTTGTTAAAGTTTCAGCTATTCTGTTTACAGTTCTGTCATCACATTATTTAATACGATTTGTTAAAACATTGTTGTTTCTTTTGATGTGAAATATTGTTTATTTAATTGAAATAAAAAGCAATGTTAGTTTTGTTCACAATTTGTTTAGTTAGTTTGCCTTAATTTTTTCTCCAAAAGAACCGATAAAAGTAGGTGTTGAAGGACCGGATCGATAAGACAGACATACTTTATTGTCATTTCAACAAGACACAGAGTGTACTATTAAAACGAAATTTCGTTGTACTGGCTTACAGGAACAGGACAAAATTGTACATAAATAATAGTGACGTGGTGCTGATAAAATTAAAGATAAAGTGTGCGTTTAAAATATAAAGACTTATACATATAAATAAGATAGACATAGGCCTACTATATAACAAATATGTGCTCTTTACACAGCGTAATGTAATCTTTATGTTACTGGTCTACTTGCTGTTCAGCAGTCTGATGGCATGGGGGAAAAAGCTATTGCAGAATCTGGCTGTTCTGCTCTTAATGCTGCAGAACCTCTTGCCGGAGTGCAGCAGGGAGAACAGAGCATGGTGAGGATGAGTGGGGTCTTTCAAAATGTTCTGGGCTTTTGTCAGGGAGCGTTTCTGAGCGGTGTCTCTGATGGGAGGGAGAGACACTCCGATGATCTTCTCTGCTGTCCTAACCACTCTCTGCAGAGACTTCCAGTTTTTGGCGTTGCAATCTCTTGACCAGATGGAGATGCCGCTGGTCAGCACGCTCTCTATGGTTCCTCTGTAGAACGTGGTGAGGATGGGAGGGGGAAGCTGTGCTCTTCTCAACCTGCGCAGGAAGTGTAGGCGCTGCTGTGCCTTCTTAAATAGTGATGTCGTGTGAGTGGACCAGGTCAGACTGCTTGTGATATGCACCCCCCAGGAACTTGGTGCTGTCTGTAGTCTTCACTGCTGTGCCGTTGATGTGGAGTGGTGGGTGACAGTGCTTTTTGTTCCTGAAGTCGACAATGATCTCTTTAGTTTTATCGACATTCAGGATTAGGTTGTTGGTGTTACACCAGTCTGTCAGATGTTTCACCTCCTCCCTGTAGGCCTGTTCGTTGTTGTCCCTGATGAGTCCCACCACTGTTGTATCGTCCGCGTACTTTATGATGTGGTTGGTACTGAACCTGGAGCATAAGCATAAGCGCTATCGATAAAAGTAGTAGTACCGTTGTGTACCCATATGTGGATGTCAGTTTTACACACATTCTGAGGCCGCAGTGCCTATGTTTTTGTTTTCACTGCTAATTGATGCTTATGTTCTATTAGTGCATTAAAAAATCATTAAAATCATTAATGAAGTTTCAGCTCAGACCCCACGCTTAATATGTCTCCCCCTGGCCCACCTACATTTCTCCAGGCCCACCCACACAATAATTCCTGGCTACGCCACTGGTCTAAATAACTCAAAATTAGGTATTTATATCTTATAATATGTTTTGGGGTATTGACAGTTCAGCTACCAATAGCAAGGTGATATTGACCAGTATGTTTCATATTTGCACATTTATATTTTTGTAAAATGTGTACTGAAGGTTAGACCCGGGTACAGGAAGTAGGAGAACGTGAACGGAATATAATGGCAGTAGACATCCATGAGTACACTGCCACTAATTTTCCCTATGCAACCTGAAGAGTAAAAGGGTCAAGTCCGTCAGAAAGCAATGACTATAAGTGTGAGCCTTACACTTACACTGTAAGGATTAGTAACATGTATTGTGTTTATGTGATGACATGTGGAGATGTTTAAACTCAATGAGAAAATGCGTTAGCATTCGCGCTAGCGTTAGCATACACGGTAGCGTTAGCATACATGCTAGCGTTAGCCATACTAGCCTGTATACATGCTTATTGTACAGCTAGCATTATCTATGTTTACCTTGTTTACACTAAGCGGTCCTAATGTGTTCATCTGTGTATGTTACACTTGCATGTATGAGATCATTAAGTGCCTTGTAACTTCTTTTTTTATAGTTTCACTCCGTTTGAATGTCACTGGACTGCAAATAAGTCAATAAAGGAGCATGGCTGCTCATTCCCTGGCTCTCAAAAGAGTTTGGCTGGCTGTTTAATCTATGTTCACACTGAGACAACACAGAGAGAGAACAGCACACCTATTGTGTAAGAACATACAAGCAGGTCACACAGTATGATCACAAATACATAAACTCTGTTAAAAATCAGTTTTTATTAAAAAGTACAGGCTGCATATATGTTCTCAGCCTTGGAGAAACTTGACATGTTTTGGTACATGTATGTGTCTGAACCTCTCTTTAGTGGTTCATTAATAAAACAGATATTTCAACGTGTGCCTACTTTGTTCATGTACTGTTGAGGTTAATTTCAGTAGTTGTGTGCTATAATGTATTTACAAAGTGTGAAGAGGAGGCAACTTTAGAATAGGGAACCTGTTCTGGTCAATTAGAGTCAAACTAATAGCTTATTGGTTATGAACAAGACTTCACTTTAGAATAGGGAACATATTCTTAGATAGAAATACCTAATTAGAGTCAAACTACTAGCTTATTGGTTATGAACAAGACTTCACTTTAGAATAGGGAACATGTTCTTAGATATAAATAGCTAATTTTGAGTTGTTTAGACTTAATTAACACTTGTAGTTTCATGTCTTGTTCCATAAGAATAGATTATATTTGTTAAGTGTTATTATGGGAGAATTACTATTCTTGTGGTACTACTGCCTTATTAGGCCCATATTGGGCAGCGCATATTAAGACCAAAACTCATGTACAATAAGTTCCTTACTTGCAACAAATAAGCACTAATTAGAGGGTTAATGAGGAAAAACTCAACTAATGGCTTATTACTTGTAGAATATGGTCATGTAGAATACGGCATTAATAAGTGTTTTATAATGACTAATAAAGAGCCAATATACTGCTAATATGCATGTTAATTAACAACTAGTTGATGGTTAATTTGTGTACCTTAATATAAAGTGTTACCAAGTATTTTTGCTTTACAGCATGTGAATTTATCATGGAGATTTAAGCTGATCACCGATGGGCATGACTTCTTTGATGCAGCCATACTGTTCCTGGATCAGTAATGGAGAGCTGTAGTAACGCCGAAAGCCTTTTGGCTAAAACACAGAAAGGGAAAAAGGAGAGAGACAGGCAACAGACATTAGAGACAAATCAATATGCAGCTCCGCAGGCCGCTCAGCGGCCTGACACTGAAATACTGCACGTAACTCTGCTGTCGTTTGTGAGAACATCTGACGGAGATAAAGCTCTGCCGCACTGAATGTCAGACGTCACTGTAGAGATGAGTCAAAGCAACTGTTTTTCACTGCAGACTGAGAAACAATCAATACCTAAAATATCTCTTTAAAGAAATACTAATATAAAAAAACAATTTGATGCAAGTCATTAAATAATGGTGACTTAATCCACAGCAATTTATAATGACTAATTCATTCATAAATCCATGAATGTTTAGGATCAGTAGGTAGGTTACTGAAATAAAATATGTATTGAGTAATTTAATGTATATTTCTAAACTGTTTTCAATGATTAGAAGAGAATGTATAATTGAATAATATAATTATACAGCATTTTGAACACTTATGAACCAATTTTGATAACAAACAGACAGTCGTTTAAATGATTATTGCATTACTTTTCATATCAGTAAAAAACATTGCACCAATAGCATGGTGTCTCTAGCAACCTGTGAACACAACTTGAGAATTACATCCATCTGCAAAACCTTGAATTTAAGTTTTTGTTATGATTATTGTGCTGATTGTTTTCACCTGTGGCCCTTGTGTTTCTCCTCCCCTGCCCGGCTGTTTCTCGTCTTGTGATTACCCCTCCCTGTATTTAGTCTGTTCTCTTCCTGTGTTGGTTCGCCTTGTGTCATGACTAGTTCGTCGGTGAGTGTTCTGTTTTGTCTTTGTTTATCACCTAGCCTTGAAATAAAGGAATTTTCACTTTAATCTGCATTTGGGTCCTGCCTGCTTCACACACCGTAACATTACGAACCGACCTAACAAATGGACCCAGCAGATGATCCATGGGAGGTTGAATTACAGCATTTAACCTTCTATCTGGCTTGCTGCTTCGATTGGTGGAAGGGAGCGTCCAGTGTTCGGCAGAAGAGGGCCGCTCTGGTAGAGGCGCACCGGTTGGCAGCAGAGAAACTATGTTTTGTGGAGTTCTTACCTGACTGGATTTTGGACTTCCTTGAAACATGTGATTCCCGGCCTGCTAGCCCCAGGCATGCTAACTCCATGTCTCCCAATTCCCAACCTGGCACCATACGCCTTGGTGGGTTCCGCCTGAAGTCAACCCGTGCTTCTGCCCCAGTTCCTGCTCCTGTCCAGGAGTTGTATTCCGGAACTTGTCTGGCTTATGGAGGTCCACGGAGTATTCAGGCGGCTGCTAAGAGGAGTCGTCGCAAGGCCAGGCTAGCAGCCCGAGCAGCCATGGTTCCGGCTCCAGAACCGGACCTTACAGCCATGTTTCCGGCTCCAGAACCGGACCTTACAGCCATGTTTCCGGCTCCAGAACCGGACCACACAGCCATGATTCTGGCTTCAATTGCGGCCCCCGCAGCCATGGTTCCAGACCCAGCTCTGGCCCCAGCTGCCACAGTCCCATCTCAAGTTTCCTCTCGAGTCCCCTCTCCAGTTCCCTCCTCTAGTCCCTCCTTTAGTCCCTCCTCTAGTCCATCCTCTAGTCCCTCCTTTAGTCCCTGCTCTAGTCCCTCCTTTAGTCCCTCCTCGAGTCCCCTCTCTAGTCCCTCCTCGAGTCCCCTCTAGTTCCCCTCGCGAGTCCCCTCTCGAGTTCCCTTCTCTAGTCCCTCCTCTAGTCTCTCCTCGAGTCCCCTCTCTAGTTCCCCTCTCGAGTCTCCTCTCGAGTTCCCCCTTGGTTCCCCTCTCGAGTCTCCTCTCGAGTCACGTCTCAAGTCCCTACCCTATGTCCTGGTCCATTGGAGGTTCCGCTGGGGGTCCTGCCAACTCCATGTCCTGTCCCGTTGGAGGCCCCGTCGACTATTCCTCTGCCGGGGGTCCTACCAATCGTATGTCTGTCCCGTTGGAGGTTCCGCCGTCTACTCTCCTGCCGGGGGTCCTGCCAGCTCCTCGTCCTGTCTCGTTGGAGGTCCCGCCGACTACTCTCCTGCCGGGGGTCCTGCCAACCCTTTGTCCTGTCCCGTTGGAGGTCCCGCCGTCTACTCTCCTGCCGGGGGTCCTGCCAACCCTTTGTCCTGTCCCGTTGGAGGTCCCGCCATCTACTCTCCTGCCGGGGGTCCTGCCAACCCTTTGTCCTGTCTCGGTGGAGGTCCCGCCGACTGCCCTCCTGCCGGGGGTCCTGCCAATCCCGTGTCCTGGTCCTCTTCCGTGGGGGATCCTGCCGAGGTCTGTCCCACCAGCTCCGGTTCCTGTCCGGCCGACACCGGGTCCTGCCCGGCCTCCGGCGCTGTCCCGTCAGCGCCTTCCTGCCCGGCCTCCGGAGCTGTCTAGTCTTCGCCCTCGAGCCCGGCCCCCTGACTTTCCCGGCCGCGGTGGCCTTCGCCCCTCCATAACCCCCACCTTGGACTCTGTCTTGCCCCCGGGCCGTCCGCCCGAGTCCCCCTTCTCGGCTTCTGCCTTGCCCCCGGGCCGTCCGCCCGAGATCCCTTCCGGATCCTCCGCGGTGCTCCTGGGTTGTCAGCCCAAACCCGTCTTCCTGACCCCCTCCACCCACCCTGGTGGCCCTAGTTTTATGTCCCTCCTCCGGTCCCCCTCCACCCACCCTGCTGGACATTGTTTTTTTGGACGTTTATGGGACTGTTTTGGTATTTTAGGGACGTCTGGAATCCGTCCCTTGAGGGGGGGGGTTCTGTTACTATTATTGTGTTATGTCACGATTTCTATGTCTTGGTTTGGGTGTTTTGCTGTTCTCCCGGTCATGTTTTCCTCTAGGTATATTGTCTGGTCCTTTTCCCTGTGTTTTTCCTCCCGTCGTTAGTTTCCCTGGTGTGTCTAGTTGTCTGATTGTTTTCACCTGTGGCCCTTGTGTTTCTCCTCCCCGGCTGTTTCTCGTCTTGTGATTACCCCTCCCTGTATTTAGTCTTGTCTCTTCCTGTGGTCAGTGTCGGTTCGTCTTGTGTCATGACTAGTTCGTCGGTGAGTGTTCTGTTTTGTCTTTGTTTATCACCTAGCCTTGAAATAAAGGAATTGTCACTTTAATCTGCATTTGGGTCCTGCCTGCTTCACACACCGTAACAGTTTTAGTTAGACAACCAGAGTTGAAAATGCAAGAGAAGACCCTGGCCCTTTCTCATCTCCTCGACTCCTCGGTCCTCCGGTAGTGACCCGGAAATGAATTTCAGTGCGCCATGTTGAAGGACATCTCATTTCTCTAAATGCACTTCGAAGACCGAGCGTCGAGGAGGCTCTCTGGAGGAGCTATAACCGAGGATACACTGATGGGTCCTCCACGGCTCCTTCGTGGATGCATTTCCGGGAACAGATGTTTCGATAGAGGTTTCTCACTACTCAAATGTCCCCTCCTCGACTCCTATCCTCGAGACTTAGTCCCGCCCACAGGAGATGCGAGCGGAGGACTGAGGAGGGGAACCGAGGAGAGAGGAGGGGAAGCAGCAGGCGGTTAGAGAAATGAGAATTCCTCTCTGAGCGGTCATTTTAAAGAGACGTCCATTAATGATGACAGGAGGCACTGCAGCCCTCGGTCTGATGGACAGATGTGTTCATGACGACTTATATATTTACTTTTAATTAATTGACAGTGCGGTATAATGAGACAATAACAGGCTACAGATGCGGACATATACACACACATATATTTATATAAATATATCCAATTTCAGAACCAAACAAGTATGAGAGCACAGAGGGCTGCTGTGCCTCCTGTCATCATTAATGGACGTCTCTTTAAAATGACCGCTCAGAGGAGAGGAGTTCTCATTTCTCTAACCGCCTGCTGCTTCCCCCCCCTCTCTCCTCGGCTCCTCCGCTCGCATCTCCTGTGGGCGGGACTAAGTCTCGAGGATAGGAGTCGAGGAGGGGAGTCGAGGAGGGGAGTTAGAGAAATGATAAAGGGCCTATGTGTCATATGTCAAGTTGTCCACCGAAATTAACCTGACTAGAAAAACATTTCAGAATTTCATGGTCAGCATTTATCTGCCTGTCACGTCCTCATCCAATCTCCAAAGGCACTCAAACATTTATCATTTATATATCCATTATCCATCCAATAAATACTACCCAACAGTTTTAAATCCTTGGTAGATAAAGAAGAAAGACAATGGAAATCTTCTCGTTCCATAAGATCTGAGCACACTGGGTAATGATTCATTTATATATGTTCAGGTTTTTTTTCTCTTTGTGATTTCATTTTCATCCATTTATTCTTGAGTGGATGTGAGCATTAGTGTTGGACACCTACATCTCACAGGACTGCCTTTTTTCAGTTTGTTTACATTTTATGTATTCAAGTGGCAGGCGGTAAAATATTCATTGCTAATCATCAGTTGTCATGAATTATTCTTTTGACACTTCTGATGTGAAACACAGAAAAAAGCCAGCCTTGAGCTTTAAAGCCCATCTCGAAAACTGATTCTAGGGAGATCTTGAAAAAAGTCATAGACGCCTGTCTTATTAGAAAAGAACCTGTATACACAACAATAAAAACAGGGGGAGATTATGAGTTTGACGAAGCTGAAGGTGAAGTTCAGGAAGGTTGCGTTACCAAATTGTTGACAAACAAGTGCTGTTGAATACTACATTTATTTTAAAACTACATTTGATATGAATGAATTGTGACTGTATCAGTAAGGAAATCCATGAAAGAAAAGCGACACACTGGTTTCATGGTTAATAAAGATTCAGAGCATGAGGTAACTTGACTTCTTTGCTAAACTATTCTCAAGCCAAGAGAAACAAGCATGGCTGCTGAAGTGTCCAAGTTTAGAATAAGTCGAAATTAGAGCCGTGCTCCACTGGGAAAACTTCCTTTTTTATGCTTGATCTCTCGACCTCATTTTCCACTCCTGAGAGTCGATCATATCTAAATGCCTCATCCCTTAAGCATCTAGTGGAAACAACAGGAAGGGAAAAAGACTGCCTGTACTGCGACTATTTCCTCTATATAATTTCCATATGACGTACTTTATTCTTGCTGATTGACATTTGCTTATTCCAAATCGCCTCAAATGATTCCAGTTCAATTGTAGGGAAGGGATTAGCCAAATACTGTGTTGAACAGAGTATGAAAGGTATGAAATCACACTTAATTTGATCTGACAGTGTTACACTCCCTTTCTTCTCAGTGTGCAGATGACTAAAGAGTCCCAGTCCACTCCTCACTGCCAGTTTGCTCCACGGCAATGGAAGTGAAAGCAATGATTTTTTTTTGGTGCTTTGGCTTATGCTGGTGTAACTGAGTACTCTCCAGTAAAAAAAAATCTCACAGACCAACGCCTGGTTCGCCTTTTAATGCAGGTTCACAGATGAGTGATCACATTAGAGCTTTAAATCACTCATATAATTACATATCACTTAATTATAATAAATTATAACTATGCTGGTACGAGTGTGTGGTTTTACAGCTGTGAGGTTATTACAGTACAGGGTCAATGCCTCTGACTTGTGATGTAACAGCAATGAAAAGCTGAAAAGACGTATTGACTGTACCAATTATTAAATAAAATATTTCATGAGGCAGTTTTGCTCTAGTTCTTTATGTCAACAAGTAGGCACATTTAAATTCAACCTATAAGCTCTATCCAAACATTTTGCCTCTGTTTTTGCTCACGTTTATTGCTCATTAACAGAGTAATTAATATCAAACAACTCAGGGAAGTAAATTGCTGGAATTATATCAGCGTAGAAGCATTTTATTAGATAACATTGCAGGAAAGGTGAATGATGTTAACCTTTTCTCTTATCAGCTTTTCAGGGACAAATCAAAGGCAGCTTTCAGTATGTTTGAAACCAATCACTGATCACTGATAAATACCGCCAACTTCCACATTGTTGTGATATTGAACTAGAATCTCATTGTGTCTTATAGAAAATGTAAAGGCTAAAGTTGAATAAATGATGGGATAAATATTCCAAATATTATTTTACAACCCCTAATTTGACGACCAAGGCTTGACTTACATATTAAAAAAGACATCAAGGCAAAGGTGAGATTGTGAAATGCCAAACATATCATAAAACTGTTACGTGTGAACTCTTCAATAGCTGTTATAAAACTGCTTTTGGGTGATTGATCCTGTTTTAATGCTCTAATGCTGGCAGCAGAACTTAACGGACGTCAGCAGTTATTTTGCTTCGTTGATATTATCTAAGACTCAGAGTGATGATATAACGATGATCAGCGAAGAGGATGGACAGATGTACCAGCAAGCTCACACAAAGTGTGATTTCTGAATAAGCACATTCTTGTGGGAAAGACACACGGCCAATTATAATATGTCTGTTTTGGTTTCAGTAACTAAAAGCTCAATCTCCCAAACTGTTGACAGTAAAGTGGCAAAAGTGGTACATTGTGACCTGGTGTCTTTTACTTTTCTGTGTCATGCATCTCACCAGTTTGCCCATGCAGCGCTGCTGTCCCACTCCGTTTTCACACTTGTGGTGGAGGCTCATCTTGCAGGCTTTGCAGCGGAGGCCGTGCTTTGCTGTGTTTCCCGCCAGGAACACCACATGCTTGGCTGTTGTACTTGATGCACACACAAAAGGTTTAAGAGGTTAAGACAGGATCTGTCAGGAGCTGGACTCGAATGGGGCTCCTAAGTGAACAGTAAATCCCACACAGAAAGGCAGAGGCATGGAAAATGTTGTTCAGAAGTCCTTCACATTCATTTATTCCTCGTCACACTTGTTGCAAGCTTAGAATTTTTCCCGGAGTGCACTAGGGAGAAACTGGGAAGAGACATGTGGAATATTTTAACAGTGATACTTTTAGCAAACGTGATGTGCAATTTTAGCAAAACCATTTTAACAAAACAGACTGTGACTGAGCCAGTGGTATCTGCCCCATGAGAACACTTTTAAATTGCTGCCTGTGTGCAGTTTACCCTCTCTTATTAATACCTGACTCACAGTCGCTACAATAAATGAAGATTAATCTGACTTTACTGCAAAAATATTTGTGTGTGTGCATTTGTGCAGAGGTGTGTGAATGAGTAACAAATGAATATGCAGAGAGAGAAAAATAAAGTAATACTAATGATACTCCTTGTTTGGAATGTGTTACGACTTTATAACCTAAAATCTATAAATATATTTGTTAAGCCTTCGCAGTAAATTATGTTGACGCTCCATCAGGCACAAGTAACTATCCCGTTCCCGTTAGACATTGATTTAATAAGCATTTTTCTGCAAAGATCCGCAATCAATATCTCAGCATAAGGCTGTACTCGATCAGAGCAGTTTTATATACCAGTGGACCTAACTCATTGTGAGCCTAAAAACAAAACGCTAGCTTAGACAAAAGGCTGCACACTGAACATAGCATTTAACCCGTGTAATGATTAGGAAAACTACATTGGATGAGACACAAAAATAGCGAGGTCACCTTGGAATAAATACAGGAAGAAGTGGTAGAGCATGCAAACCAAAGACACTTCTTTGTTACTGAAACTGCATTTTTTAGAACAAATCTTCTCTGAGCTTGCCTAAAAACAAATCTAAAGACACAAACTATTTACCTGTGAGTTTATCTTACCATACTATATTTAGCCTTTCGACACAAGTAATCCAATATGCACTAAGTCTACATTAAGTATGATATGCTTTATTTAAAATATTTAAAATCTTTGTTGGTATTTATGAACTCAACATCATAGATGTGCAGATCAGTGCAGTGCAACAAATATCTAAAATAGTGGATATTTAGCACAATTTAACAACATTTTTGTGTTTTTCTGATTCTACAAACATGATATAAGTCTATATTTCATGTGATGGCAAAATGTAAAAGTTGTACAGTAACATACTTCTCCATATCAGATTTCTGAAGAATCTTTTCAACAATTTTCTCCTAATTATATCACATTAAGGGCACATCTGGGTTTAAGTGGGCCCACCCACAAAGGTGTTTTCCATAAACCTGGCTGATTAGACTAGAAATTAAGCTAATTATAAAGATAATAGCGTGGATGTTCCGCCCCTTACAGATGTAACACATCTAACAGTAGGAAGAGAGGGAGATGTCAATCAAGCACGAGATCTATTCAAACTGAAAACACCTGTGTGATGGACTGTGGGTGTATACTGGCTGTACCTCTCTTCTTTATACTGGTTTTGAGTACATTTCTAGATACACAAAAGGGGACTCCTCTTGTGACAAAGCAGAGTCACTGACAGTGATTCTCTTCTTAATCATAACATTAAGATTATCCCTATAAATTCTTTATTTTCCTAATGTTGAATAGCAATTGTTCAACTGAACACCATGTATGAGCTAGTCTCTCTACAAAGGGGTTTCAAAACAAAGATGAACGCCTACCAGAAAAATGGTAATATGTTTTTGCTCTATTAAAGATTTACTAATCTAGCTTGGCTCTATTTCATCTAGTAAACCTTATAAATGAGTCAGTGAGCACTATAATATGATTCAGCCATTTCTATTATGGATGACGTGTTTAATTTGCACAGGCTTTCATAATAAGGGATCCTCCTTCAGGAAACAAAAGGTGGGTGTTTAATGTACCAGGCTATCTTTTGCATATTACCATTATGCTATCAATCTACATATGTAGCTGTATATAGGGTGTATTATAAATATTGAAACAGTAACATTGATGAAGATTAAACCTTGAGTTAAAATAAGTGTTAATCCATTTAAGGATCAACATGTCCTTTCCATTTCCAATGATATACTATATTATTTAAGTTTAAGGTGGTGAATATGTAAGTTATTTTGGGTTTTTATCATTAAACTGACAAATTAACACATTTATATGTATTCCTATATTTATATTTAGTCTACTGTACACTTATATCCATTGAATTACAAGAAGCATTTCACTTCGGAGAACCTTATCCACATCTATGAATCATCGATAATTATAATACACTTGTACTTCTTCAACTCCATAAGCTTTCTAATGAATTGCCATTAGGATGAATTAATCACAGTTTGCTTGTACTTGTACAGTTTAAGTATCTTTTAACACAACTATGTGTCTCTCTGTCTCCTGTGAGCCACCCTTGATTCTGGATGTCAAGAGTCGGACTATGACAGCACCATGAACACACACATGCAAGATAGTATGTTAAAATGAAAACAGGACAAATTAAGAAGAAGGCCTCATCTTCCTTCATGATTGGACCAGAGGGATCAGCACCTTTCACAGGACCTTACATCATCCTTTCACTATCATTATCCATTCAAGGCCTCAGCCACTGGAAACCCCACACAGGCAACACTCCATTAGTCTGACAAAAACTAGATTGTTTCAATTATGCAACGAAAAGCAAAGACTGTTGGCACACTGATATATATTCATTTATTTGTTCAACCTGCCCACATTGTCACTGGTCTGTCGTCCTTTATCTGCTGTGGTATCAGGGGCTAGTTGGGCAGATGGTTCGGGGAGCAGCTATCATTATCAATCAGCAGATGCCCTGAGACACAAAGTCCTAGTGGTCCCTCTGAACCGATAGTTAACAAGGAGGGGGGGCAGCCAGAGAAAACAGAACATCTGGCAGGGGGAGAACAGCTAGAGCAGCTGGCTATCTGACACCTCGGCCGACAGATGGAGGAACCTGGCTCAGCGTGCCAAAAAGAAAAGGATGGAGATACTATGGTCCCAAGTCTGTTGGTCGAGATGGATGCTCTGTATCAGGTGCCTTAATTAGTGTTTTTATGAATATGGCTTCTGTGTTCAAAATGTTTTAAGGATGATAAAAAAAAACAAGGTTGGCGTCCAAACCGTATGTGCATATTATTGCATATTTATAACTCTCTAATTGTTATTCTGATGTTGGAGCCTTTTTATGTATAACTTCATCAGGTTATCTGATGAAGGCCTCATTAAGAAAAGGTTATTCTCAATGCTTTGATTGCAAAGTTCATCTGATGATGTGCAGGATTTTATTTTCTCCTACGATCTTAGTTAGATACTCTGCTTCCACTAATGAAGGAGGGAGGCGGTGTAAGGGTTTAGTGTTTTGTCTATCTGTCTGTTGATGTTAATTGCTCTGCTCTCTCTCTCTCCAGGTGTCGGCACTTCCTGTCCGTGTGGCACCTGCTAGGCTGATTGTTATTCCCGCCCCTAATTGTGTCCACCTGTGTCCCATTACCTAAAGTGTATATTTAGTCCGCCTCTCCCTTTGTCTGGTGTTGGTTCGTCTTGTCTTTTCGTCATGTCCATGCCTGTATTCCATAGACCTGTTCTTGCACTACCGAGTAGAACCTAGAGATTCTTGGAGAGTCCTAGTAGATCCTAGAAGTTGATTGGAAAGCTTTGTATTCTTGGAAATAAAGAATATTACAAAGCAACAGAATCGAGCATCTGAGTTCTTACGAGCCCAACGTGTCAGGCGATGTAACCATACCTACGATCATGTGGTTGCAGACGTCACAGAACATGGGCTTCTTGAAGATGTGCTCCATGAAGCAGTGTCCTGCCGAGTCTACCTGCAGCGGGTTGCGTATCTGGGACCGTGAGTTGGGGGGAGGAGCGGAGGGGATGACTGGAGGGACGGGGGGGATGGGCAGGTGGGTGGTGTGCGGGGGGGCCATGTTGCAGAGATGTCCCGTGCTGCTGCTCACGTCTGAGAGCAGCTCCATCTTGTTGTCGTTGCTGTTTCGGAAGAAGTTGTCCGCGCTCTTGCTGCGCATGGTCTTGGTCTTGAAGGACAAGGAGCATTTTAGTCTCTGCAGCTGAAAAAAAGAGCAAACATGTCAATGCAAATGGAGCGAGGAAGAGAAAAACACAGAGTATAAATGAGGAGAGAGAAGAATTCAGCAGAACTGAGTGAAGCAAATCAATTTCTATAACAACCCTAATAGATTACAAGCTGAGTCTGTAAAACCTCCAGGCACATTTCTCAGAGTCTGATGGCTGATAAAAGACTATTGCGACGGGCAACTTATCACTTCTGAGTGGAAAACCTTCAATGTTTCCTACCTGGAAGGTAATGTGATATTCTGGTTAGAGCAATGCATCATATCAACACTTTTCCTCTCACACTGTGCTTTCATATCTGGCAGCAGCCTTCATTAATCTCCTTAGGGCCCTTTATGACAGTAACGCAATTCATAACACTCCACACTGACAACTCCTCATTTAACCTCCCAGTGTGATCTTCCTCCTCTGTGAAACCCATTTAATTCTGGGCTTAAAAACGCAATAAAGAATCTTTGAGCTCCTCTAATGAGATGTTATGGTTATGATTTCTGGATGGTGCGGCTGCAAGTCTCTCATTGCGGAAACATGTTATTTAAGCACATCATACCCTAGCACACAGAACAGGCCTGAATGTATAACTAAACAGATAAACAGGTGAGGTTTCTCTGCGGTGTGCAGAAGGATTAAACCGTTTGTTTTAAAGTATTAGCTTTGCAAACAGACAGTTTACATCAACTGATTCTGAGCCGAGATGACTCATATTCCATCACAGACTTTAACTGCAATACAATTAATTGACAACTGCCATTGTTATTGCATTATTGTTGACTTACAAGCCTGAACACATTGTTTAGAGAGCTTCCCATTGCAGCGTTGGTGTGGTGAAGATCAATAATTCAACGGGTCAGGAAACAATCAATTTAGAGCCTTTCTCTACCATTACCGCCCACACAGGAATGCACATCAGACATGAACATAGAGCACACACACTGTAACCTCTCTCACATGGCTTTCACACGCCCTGAAAAGGAAAACTGTGGTCAGGCATAAATTAAATTGTTCATCACCTTTCCTGAGGTTGGAATTCTGCGTACATTGTAGTTTTTTAGAAAAGATGTGATGGAAAAGATCGTTCCTTACATGAAGATGTAAAAAATAAAAGATCTCTAAATCAGAAAAGTGAACATGCATCAAGGAGCTCATGCTGTGATTGATGTCCTCAAATCTATAAGAGCTGTGATTTATCAAAAAGCAGGAATGGTTAATAAGGGCTGGAATGGGTTATGAAAAATAATATAGATAGAAATGTTTTCAATAATAAATAATAATAAAAACAATAACATTCCAGTTATGGCTTAAGATAATTTAAAAATAAACTCATTAACTGATGCAGCCTATAAACAAACATTGCCCTCTATGGTGAACTAATTTGTATGTGGCATTAACGTCACTAAGTGATCCTTCTTATAAAGCAGGAAAAGTTGTAACGCAAAACAACTTTTATCTTTATGTACATGCAGATATGATTGACTAAATCAGCAGATCGCTACAGTTTACACAAGAGTGGAGGCTCACCTTGCGCTTATGATGTTCAGGCCTCACAGTATTCTTTAAGGAAGAATAAAAACACAAACAAAGCTTCACTTAAAAAGGTAGAAAACGTTGTCAGCTTATAGTGGAACTCGTTCTACTTGTACTGCATGTAAGGAAGACTCAACATTTTCCTCTCTCACTTTTGTTTGTCTTTCCGATGTTCTACTACCGTTGGATGTTAGAAGAAGTGTTATGGTTAGGCAGAGGCTTTATGTGCAATGTCAGCCAGGAAGAAGACTCTTTTAAAATGTGACCAGCTGTGCCAAAAAAAGAGCTCTCATGCACACGCTTCAAGAGAGACAATAGTCAAAGAGGAAAGCATGTCTATGATTCCGGAAAAACACCACCAAAAAACAGTTTCCGTTCACAAACTGATGGAAAATAATGAAGAGACTTATACATCTCATCTGTCCTGTGCAGGGACAGCAGAGGGGAGCTGATAGCCATCCACTAACATGATGACTAGTCCAATATTGTAATGCTAATTGTAGTAGTCTGGGCATCATGTGACCCAAATAGATGGCAAAACGCCTGAGGCAGCTGTGGATATCTATCACACAGCCTACTTTCCTAAATCAGCCACAAGTAGAAGGAACAAACCCAAATGGCCCTTACTGTACAGCAGTGACCACCAACTGGCGGCCCGCGGGCCACATCCGGCCCGCCAGACATTCTCATCCGGTGTCAGTACCAGATATGTTCGGGCTACCAGATATGTTCGGGTGTATTTCCGTCGCATCCGTCATCCGTCATATGACGGATTGTACGGCAAATCAAGAGGGCCAACATACACGGTCAAATTCCGAACATTTAAACATAGCCGACACTTCATTCTTTACTTTGTCCGTTATTATATGTAGAAGATTATACTTTTTCTCCGTCATGTTGTTTCCATAGCAACAACTTCAAACAGGCATAGCCTACACTTCATTCTTTACTTTGTCCGTTATTATATGTAGAAGATAAAAAAAAATTCTCCGTCATGTTGTTTCCATAGCAACAACTTCAAACAACAACAACTAACCGCTAGCCGCAAAGCTAGCATCACAGCCACTGCTCCGTTTTCGGAGACTTTGCACACGTTTTTCAGAAACATTTTTCACACGCTAGGAGTACTTCCACTAGCTTCGTCTTGATCTGTAGATGTGATTTGATGTGTCGTGTGTCCCCCAACTCCTCTCCAAAGTTCAGATATTTAATAAAATACTCAGGGGAGTTTCCTGAATTTTCATGCCCAAAGCCAAGCACTAGGCCCTGGGTAAATTAAGAGGCTGATCTCGGGCACTTTTGTCCACTTTCCCTGGTGGTCGAAACTCAAGCCAGACATCCCTGGAATCGTCTCAGAGAGTAGATGATCAGTGGGGCCTTGTTTTTACTGAATGATGTGTTTTTTTATGGGGAATTCAAATATGAGCTTATTTTTAGGATTTTCGGAGACTTTGCACACGTTTTCACAAACATTTTCACGCTAGGAGTATGGGAGTACTTCCATTTGCTTCGCCTTGATCTGTAGATGTGATTTGATGTGTCGTGTGTCTCCCAACTCCTCTCCAAAGTTCAGATACTATATACAAATACTAAAAGGTAAATAAAACATTAAACATAATGACAAAATAACAACCTGAAATATATGTATTCTATCTACACATTTCGTAATTGTCTAATCTAGTGGCCTTATAAAAGTGTTGGCTAAAGTAACGCAGAATATATATATTTTTTAATTGTAAATAATTAGAAACATTATTTATGTGCACAATGGGACCCCACCATAGCACCCCACACATAACAAGCTGTCCCGAGTTCCTCCGGCTGCAGTTCCGCAGACGGCCGGTGTGTGGCAGCAGAGCGCTGGGAGCCGAGGGAGGTGAGTATATGACGGATATGACGGATGCGACGGAAATACACCCGAACATATCTGGTAGCCCGAACATATCTGGTACTGACACCGGCCCGCACGACGGGGGTGACTGCGGCGTGGTTACTGCATTCGCAGTAACCACTGTGTGCAGTACCGGAGTACAACAGAGAGGCAGCAGCTGTGGGACAGTAGACTGCGTACTGCAAAACCTTCCCTGTCTTGAAGAAGAAGTGATCCTTCGTTGTGAAGAGTCTGGTTTGTGCGCTCCGCACCACAGCAGCAGCCCCGCTGCGACAGAGTCCAACAGAGAGGCAGGAGCTGCGGGACAGTAGCCTAGAAGCAGGGTTGGGTTGTAACGGAATACATGTAACGGCGTTACGTAATCAGAATACAAAAATCAAGTAGGCTAACTGAATTCAGCTGGCGTTACATTTGAAAAACGAGTAATCTGATTACAGTTACTTTCGTAAACCTGAAGTGAATACATTTTGGATTACTTATTTGAATTATTGGTGGAAAAGTTTCCTCACAAAATGTAATATTCATTACCGGCAGAGCTGTGTGCACACTGCACAGCGCTGCAGCATGTCTGTGAGCGAGAGAGATGCAGTGTGTCTGTGAGGCCCCGCCCCCGCACGCAGATGAGAGAGGGATCTCTTTTAAAATATATTGAAAGTTAGAAACGGAGATGGTTAGATCGAATGTGCAAGATAACGTTTATGTAGCATTTCTTTATTGTCGAAATGATGACATTTCATAACGGGGTCAAATCAAAGTGAATGGCCTGCTGCTGCTGAATGCATGGGGCAAGTGACTGGAAAAAGTTTTAAAAGTTATAACATCGTTTCAGATAATAAATAATAATGATAATTCATTCTATTTAGGGGCGCCTTTCAAAGCACCCAAGGACACCTTACAATTCATAACATATTCTAAGGAAAGGTTTTAAAGCAGTACAAAGAATGCAGTCTGGGTGATGTTTGTATACGGGGTGCAGTCCACTGCAAAACGTTAACTAACCTCTGCAGAACGTTAGCTAAACTCTGCTAATATCCCCTTAATGACATGCTCCTTTGAACATTTTGCTAAGTTACTGTTATAAATGTGACGAATCACTCATGTGCAACCTTATGAAAAGCCATTTTAAATCGGTTTTGTTACCATATGATCAGCCGTTAAGTAACTTTAGCTAAACCACGTGCAGCTTTAGAGCTAAGCTAACTTGTTGTGAGCAGGTCTTTTAGCGAATACATTTTTGACAGAAAGATATCTACAGATATATATAGATGTTTTCAAACTCACCATTCCACGTAAAGTTATTTTCAAAATTCGGTCGGACCACCAGACGCAGCAGCAATAATTAGCGGGCTCCTCGGTCTTCACCTCTGACTGCGTGCAGTGCAGCTGCAGCACTAATGCTCAATGTGTGTGTGGAACCCCCTCCCCTCTCTTGCAGAAACGTAACACACTGAGTTATCTCTGCTTAATAGGATTATTGCAATGCACATTTCAGCTAAATAGTGCAAACAACTAATTTGCTTTAGTAATGACACTGTTTTTACAAAGTCTTTTTAGATGCGACTTTAGAGTAGAGGGGAATTATTGAAACGGGATTTGTACAGTGTTCCGCGGCATCCGCAGCTGCGAAAATGTGGGGCAGGGCCGTAAAGTGGGGGGGCCAATGGCCCCCCCGCTTCCGGCGCCCTTGCTCATGGCGTCAGCCATCCTGGTCATACGACTGGGACGCTTACACATGAGGGAGTTTCAGCGCTGGGTGGCTGCCCTAAAGAGTGATGGTTACTGTGAAATGCGTAATGGCACTGCGCCACTGGCTGCACCCGACTTTTCTAAGTACGAGGTGTGCCTATGGGTGCTGTCCTTTCACGGAAAGTGGTCACCACGGACGCATGTCTGACAGGTTGGGGAGGTATTTATGAAGGTCGCCCGGTGAGGGGTCTCTGGAGCAGAGACCTCCAGCGGGCACACATAAATTACCTGGTGTTTCTCACCCTAAAACGCTTTCTGCCTTTCCTCAGGGGACATCACGTCCTCGTGAGGACAGACAATACGACCACAATATCGTATATTAACCGCCAAGGGGGTTTGCGTTCTCTCCAGTTACACACACTGGCGCGCAAACTTATCCTATGGAGCGGTAGACGTCTCCTCTCTCTGAGAGCGACGCACGTACCGGGAGTGAGGAACCTCGGGGCAGATCTACTGTCCAGAGGTATACCACTTTATGCAGACTGGACTCTACATCCAAGGATTGTGAGCCAGCTGTGGGTGCGTTACGGCAGAGCCGCGGTGGATCTGTTCGCATCGAAAGACAACGCTCAGTGTCAGCTGTTCTTTTCGATGCGCGTCTAAATGCACCGTTAGGCGTGGATGCACTCGCGCACAATTGGCCCCCGGGCCTTCTGTACGCGTTCCCACCCCTGGCTCTGATACCCCCAACTCTGGCCAGAGTGAGAGAGCAACGCCACACACTTATCCTGATAGCTCCGAACTGGCCAGTACTGGCTAGCGGAGATATATCAGCTGCTGTGCGGGCAGCCATGGCAGCTCCCACTACGCAGGGACATACTGTCCCAAGCGGGGGGGGCGATCTTTCACCCACACCCAGAGCGCTTGGCTCTATGGGCCTGGCCCGTGAGTGGTACAATCTAAATACAGTGTGACATGACGCTGACCCTGGCAGCTGCCAAGCGAGCCAGTGGCACTCATGCACTATCTGTACGGTTTTCATGCACTCAGTTTTGCCCCAGGGCAAACAGAGTGTGGTTGAAGCCTAACCCTGCCTTTATCTTAAGGCGGTCGGTTCGGGTACCACATTTGACATTAAGGCATCCTCCCCGCCACTGTATCCCTCCGGGGAACAGCGGCCGGATTTGCCGAGTCCAGCCCGTGCTTCACGCACGTACAGGGACAGATCAAGGGTGCTTCGTCATAATGACCAACCCCTTGTGTCTGGGGCTAACCCTTATAAGGGCAAACCTGTTACTAAACAACGGCTCTCCCACTGGTCTGTGGAAGCAATTGCTTTGGGGCCCATACGAGTCAGAGTTCGCAGGCATCCTCGGGTCCGCGAGCTCTTTCGACTCAGGGTCGGGCTGCATCCTGGACTCTGTCCAGGATGTCTCCCATCAAAGACATTGGTGCAGCGGCGAGCTGGTCCTCGCCGTTCACTTTTGTCTGCCTCCTAACAGGCTGGACGTTCTGCTCCCAGTGTGACTCAAGCAGTGCTGGGCACCTGGTTGAGTCAGAGCTCTACCTGTTAAGTTCTGGTTGGTTTGGTGATTTTCGAGATAAGCTCGTCTGGCAATACGGGAGCTACAATTTCCCATAGTGAGACATCGAACGGAGTGTTATGAATGAGAACTATAGGTTACTTACGTAACCCTAGTTCTCAGAGTAACATGAAGTGAGATGTCTCACCAGACGGCCCTCCTTGCTATGGTGAAGCGAGAAGAGGTGCTTATTTTGAATGGCGCATGCGTTGTGGCGCAAGCTACTTATAGGGGGTGATTTCCCCGATGCTGACGTCAAAGATCACCAGCCAATCAGGATTGGCGTAATGAGATTGATG